GGGTGGGGAGCCCTGGGTGCCCCCTGTGCGGGGCCGCGCGCCCACCTGGCACCGCGCTGTGACCCCGGCGCTGCGCTGCCCTCGGTGAGCCCCAGTGCTTGGCTTTTATGGCCGCTGATGTTTTGATGAAGGGTGCCTGTTAGAGCCCAGCCCGAGCGCTGGCTGAGCTCTGCTTCCCGACATCAAAGGGGAGCTGGGAGGCAGCGCAGCCTTTGTTTGCGGGGAAGAGGTGTGCCACACAAACACGGAGCTCCGCGTGTTTGCGAAGCTCTCAGCCAGAAACGCTTTGATTTGGCGTTAAACCTTTGCCTGCTCTCAACCCCAACCGTTCCCATGCTGCGCTGGGACCGGCAGGCTCGGAAAGGGAGATGGCAGAAATGCTTTCATTGTTTATTTTGAACCAAGTGCGAAAAATAAACAGATCGTGAGGAGTCGATTGTGCTCTGAAAGGCCGCGCTCCCCCCGCAGCCCCACATTCTGCAGCGCACTGAGAGGGGAATTCCGGAGGCCCTCTGCTAACAGCACCGTAACGTGAACTGGAAATCCTTCTCCGTAATCAGTCTGTGGGTGATTAGCAGGACAGGGGTAGGCGGCTGTGCTGGGAAGGGATTAACGTGAGCAGCATCCCGTTTTAATTTAGATGGCGTTTTACAGGCTATTAATTTTGACATTATTTCCTTTGGGGCGTAACGCTGGAGAAACACCTCAAGTTTGGGGAAAAAGCTGTTGGCTGGTGCAGGAGGCGAGTGCCACGCGCTCGTGCTCTGCAGATGGGGTGCACCCAGTGGCTCCTGAGAGGAGAGCAGCAGCAGTGCAGCACTGGGACCATTCTGTGCGTGTCGTGGAGCCGACGGCGAGTGAATCAACCTGAGTCACTGCCGCTCGGCCTGAGCCGTGCTCTGCTCTGTGTAACTCACTCCGTGGGGTCTCGCTGGTGGGCAGCATTCCCAGTCCCAGTGCCTGGAGCTGCTGGCTGGCGCTGTGCTTGCAGCCTGCCCTGGGGCTGTGCACAGGCTGCCGGCCCCCTGCTGCCACGTGGGACGTGGTGCTCCTGCAGTGCCCGCAGTCAGAGCTGTGCAGGGTTGTGCCACGGCGTTTCCTGCTCTGGAGGGCTGGGGGCTGGCTTGTCCAGCAGCATTTCAGACCGGGACTTTCCTGCTGCAGAAAGCCACTGCCGTCTCTCCGACGCTCAGAGGTGAGAAGTGAGGATTTGGAGTCATGGATTTTTTTCTTTTTTCTGTTTCTAGAAGCAGAGCAGGCAAAAATGCTTGATCATGCCATGCTGCTGCAGGTGATCAAAGAACAGCAGGTGCAGCAAAAGCAGCTACTTGACCAGCAGGCAAAGCTGCTGGCTGTGATTGAAGAGCAACACAAGGAGATTCACCAGCAAAGACAGGAGGAGGGAGGAGAGGAGAAGCCAAAACAAGGTAAGGAAACCACCGGGGAGCGTGAGCCCTGTGTGAGCTGGGCTCAGAGCAGCTTCAAAATCAGGCTGGGAGAGATCCAGGTCCCTCCAACACATGGCAAAATTCGGTCTGCAGCAAGCCATTCCTGACTGTGTTTGAGCTCCAAGGTGGGGACCCCCTGTGCAGAGATAATGCTGCTGCTCGTGTCTCACCCTGTTTCCCCACCTGCCCCTTGATGGTGATCTCATTCTTCAATCTCATGTTGTGCACAGCATGGTGGGAGCAGGGAACCTATTGCTCTCTGTAAAAAAAAAAAGGTTGTACATGTCAGTTTTTCTTCTGCAGCAGAAATGCAACAGGAGCCTGCTGTGCCTCTCTCCAAGAGTAAGGAGGAAGAGAACCTAGGAGCTAAGCAAGAAGCTGCTGCAAACCCACCGGGTAAAGAGCCACCGGAGCACCCTGTGCTGGGCGCAGGCAGGCAGGCTGCTGAGTCAGCTGAGCAGCGCAGGGTGACAGCAGGAAGGCTGGAGGAGGCTGGGCACGGGCGTGAGATTCCTGGGGTTCCTCCCAAGGAGCGGAAGGTGGCACAGCAGGAGATTGACAGGGCTGCTAGGAATGCTGCGGAGAACTCGGATCCCCTTCACGGAGATGCCCAACGTGTTCCAGCAGCCAGAAACCACCTAGAAAAGAAGCCCTTGGCTGAAGATGCAGGAGGAGGTCATGAAGCCAAAGCTGGAAGAGACGTCCACGAGAATTCCCTGAAAGCTGTGGAAGCAGCTACAGTTCCTATCCAAAGAGAACAGCTGAGGGCTGCCAAGGTTCAGGGAGTAGCAGGAAAGACTCTGGAAAGAGACTCGGGAATAGACCTTAAAGCCAAAGCAGTGAGTCAGGTGGAGCCCAAAGACCTGGCAGTTGCACTGGACTCCTTGAATAAACGGAACGTGGCAGGGAGTGAGCAGCACCTACGGGAGCATCCGAGAGCTGCAGATGCTGAAGGGGCTGACGAACAGCAGCCGGCCTCACGGGGGGAGCTGGCCATCAAAGGGCAGGTGAAGGAAGAGGATCCTCAGCAGAGGGGGGTGGATGCGGCCCAAGACCCTCAGGAAGAGGGCAAGCAGAGGCGTGTGGTCGGAGGGCTGGCAAATGGTGCTGAGAAGAAACCGAGCCCTGAGAATGCTGCTGCCCGAAAGCTGGAGAAAGGAGCGGCGATCCCTGGGGACCAAAAGCAGGACGGCGACATCAAACCAAACCGGGACCTGAAACTGCAGGCGGACCTCGACCTGCGGCGAAGGAGGCGGGATCTGCTGCCTCGCCGGGAGGAGGAGGAGGAGGAGGAGGAAGCCGCACGGGGGGCGGGGGTCTTCATTGGCCTCAACCCCCTTCCGGATGTGAAAGTGAACGACCTGCGCAGCGCTCTGGAGACGCGCCTGAACCAAGTGGCAGAGGGAGCGCAGCAGGTGGTCCACAGCCGGCAGATCAAGCAGATGACAGAGGCGGATGGGAGCATGTGAGAGGGGGGCCGTGCGCCGCGGGTGGCTCGGGGTGTTGGCCGCGGGGGTGAGGCTGGCAGGCTGCGCAGGGGAGGCTGCAGTTCTCCGGCTGTTTGCTGCTCGGGCAGCCGAGCCAGCTGTGCGTTGCTGGATGCAGCGTGCGATCCGCGGGGCCTCCTGGAGCTGCGAGTGCTCTGCGGGCTCCTGGAGTCCCTGCAGGGTCGCACCTCCCCCGTGTGCCTGCAGAGAGCTGAGGAGGTGACAACCGTGCAAGCAAAATTCCTGCTCTCCTGTGGCTTTCAGAGGTTGCCATTGAACTTGGTTCCCTGGCAGCTTGCAGGGGCTGTTTTCAACATCTCGTTCATATCAGATTGCCTTCTCCCTCCAGCTCTCTGCTCCCCCTTCAGAGCCAAGGTGTCTGTCCGTGAGGTTCCCCTGCCTGCTTGGAGAGGCTTCTCTGGGTTCCTCCACCCAGGACTTTGGGGCAGGGCTCTGGGTCTGCAGGAGCAGAACTGGGGAGAGATGCCTGACTTGTGAAGGGTCTCGCTCTGGAGCAGCACCAAGGCAGATGGAGTTGAGGACAGGCTTAGCTAATTGCTTTGGTGTTTCTCTTGAAATGGGAGCTGTTAGTCTTGCATGTTTAGGAGTTAGTTGTGGTTTAGGGACCTAGTTTAGTAGAAATGCTGCCTTAAACGGGCACAACTGCTGCTGTTGTGCTGCCTCTACTCCCAGGGATTTAATTGGTTGGCCACACACTAGCAATAATGATGAGCTCTGCTCTCTCTTCACCCTCTCTGTATGCTCGCACTCTCATCTCTGCTTTCAAGCTTGACTTCTTCAGTCCAAAGTGCATTTCAAAGCTCAACCCGGGGGCTGCAGACCGCCCCCTCTCCAGCTTGATTTTTCTGCAAGAGGCAACTAATTAAGGGACAAAACACGTGGCTTAAAAGGGCGGACTCGAGGGGCTTGGCTCAAGCATACCTACCTCTTCTCTGTAACTCGATGGAGCTGTTTGTTTTTTGTGTTCTTCCCAGCCTCGTTCCATACTGTGTTTTACATCCATAGATGTCAGTACTCTGCCCCTAAAAATGTATTTTATGAGCAAGGAAGGGAAGAGCTCTGGTTTGTTGCAGGCTCCCAGACAGTGGTTCATCCCATTGTTTTTTATTTTCACATCCTGACTTGCGAATGTAAGAAATCAAATCCCAAAGCTCACACTTAGAACGGCTGACGTTTCCCAGCCTGGAGTCTACAGACCTCATCACTGTGGTGGTTTTTATATCAGTATCTCAAAAGTGTCTTTGGTAAACTAACCTCGTTGAGTTTATGTCTAGTGGGACCCCCTGGAGCCAGAGACAAGGCGTCACCAGGCCTGCAGGACAGCCACGCTGTTCTGTAACCGGGCCTCGGCTGCGTCGCTCATGTCTGCTCCAGCAGCCAAAGACTGCTGTGTGCCTGGATGTGCGCCTGTTGCTTGGAGGACGTCCTTGAGCTGAAGAGACGCAGAGCAACAGCTGCGACTCAGCCCCATTTCTTCACCACGACCTCCCACGCCGCTTCCCCGTGCGTCTCCTTGTGACTGCCGGAGCCTTAACCCTCAGGACTTCATTGTACAAGTGAGCTTCTCCATCGCGCTGTCTTAAAGCACAAACCCAGGAGCCCCGCACAGCAGGGATTGGGCAGGGCAGGGGCTCCCGAGCACATTTCTCAGTGTGAGAGCCTGCAGCGAGCTTTGTCATCCCCTGCAGCACTCAGCTGCCTTTCTACAGGAGGAGGAGCCTTCCCTTCTCACACCTTGCTGTGTGCTGGGTCCACCCCAGGCTCTCCCATCCCGCAGGACGAGGACGTGCTCCTGCCCTGCGGTGGTGCTGTGCATTTGGTGATGTGGATTTATTGCTGAACGTCTCTGTGGCGTTATGGATTTGTTGGCGTCGTCTCCGCGAACACAGAGGACCAAAGATGCTCTGACATTCCCCAGCAAGCCAGGAGGGACAGCACAGTCCCTGCATGGCCTCTCCTTGCCAGGGACCATTTGTACCGGGTCTGGAGGGGCTGGTGGGAGACTGAGCTGTGCAGATCAATAAAATAAGCTGAAGCATCTGCATCTGATTTTAATTTTTTAATAAACGGGCCGCGGTTCCCACACAGGCATTGCTGAGCGGGGAAAAGCTTCTGCGTGGGGGCGAAGGAGCCCGGGGCCGGGCCCATAACGCCGCCAACCCCGAGCTCCACCCCCCCGCACCGCAGCTGCAGTCGCCGCTGTCACCTCCGGCACCTCAATCACTTGGCCGCCGCCGCCGCCTGCGGAGGAAACCGAGTGAGCGCTGCTGCCGGTACCGGTACTCTCCCCACCCGGAACCCCTGAGGCAGCACCCCGGGCCTACCGCGCGGGCGAAGCACTCCCGCAGGGCCTGGAACTCCCGCAGGCAGACGTCCCGCCGTAGCTCCACACTTCCAGCGGAGGCCGCGGCCACGCAGCGCCCGTAAGCCGATGCCTAAAGCGGGAAGAGGAAAGAAGCGGGGTCACCGAGGCCTACCGAGGTGTCTGGGTCACTGAGAATGCTCCCGGCCCGGCCCCACCTGCTCCCCGCAGCCCGCCAGCAGTGCGGGGAAGCGCCGCAGCCGCGCTCGAGCCCGGAGCCAAACGCCTCGACCCGACATCGCCTCATACTTTGGGCGCCGCCATGATGGCGGAAGAGCTGTTAGCCGCCAGGCCTGCTCACCCATGTGCCCGCCCTCTTGGCATTTTGATAGGGGGAACGCTGAGTCTGTCAGTGCTCTGCTTGCTCGGATTGGCTAGAGTGGGCGGCTGACGGCGTGGATTGGTTGCGCACAACACCCGCCTCCTGACCGGCTTCAGATTGGTCGCTCGCCAGATGTAGCTCTGATTGGCGAAGAGCCTTGCTGTTTACTTCCCGTCTCCCGCCCCTTTGCTGCTGGCGTCAGCCTCGGAGACCGCTTCCGCCCGGAGCTCCGCCCTTCCTGACTGCTGATTGGCGGATTCGGAGAACCTTGCACTCTCATTGGTGCGCTGCGTTTTCCGGAAGGCGGAAGTTTGAAGCCAAATTGGGGCCGGGCAGGAACTGAGTCGGACTGTCATGGCGGTGCCGTTGCGGGACCGGTTGTGCTTCCTGAGCCGGGTACGGGCCGTGCTGGGGCGGGGGGGCGGCCGGAGGGGAGGGGGGGCTGCCGGGGATGTGGCGTCACTTCGCCCGTCGCGATGTCATCGCCGCATCCCTCACCCATCCCTGCGCCGGGTCTCCTCTGCCCAACCGCCGCCCAGCCCCGCTCTTGGCACCGTGAGGCCTTCACCGGCAGTGACGTGATGTCACCAAGAGGGGCCTGACGTCACCGTGGGGACGTGACGTCACCAGTTATCCCTGGGGGGTGGTGGTGGGGAGGGTTCCGTAGGCAGCCCTCACCGTTCCTACTCTTAGCTGCCGGTGCTGCTGCGTGGCACTGCGGACGAGGAGGGGCCGTGCCCCGGATTCGTGCTGGAGGAGATCAGCAGTATCCTTTGGGGGAGCTGGGGCCGGGTGGGAGCTGGTGATGGTGTGAGATCCATCCCTAACGAGCGGCCCAGAGATCTCTCGTGAGTCGGCAGGCAGCAGCCAGTGCCTGCTGGAGTTCCTGCTGGGCCGGCTGCGCAGCGGCTCCTGCCACGTCAAGCTGAAGGTATGGCATTGCTGCGGGCTGGGGGCAGTGGCGGAGCTGTGGAGTGGACTCTTCACCCCAATGTTGGACCCCCAACACCCTGTCAGGTGCTGAAGATCCTGCAGCACACGTGTGCCCAGGGTTCACCCCAGTTCCTCCTGCAGCTGAGGAGGAACGCTGCCTTCATTCGGGAGGCTGCAGGTAATGGGGTGAGGAGTAGGGCGGGGGGCAGGGAGGGGCTCTGTGTCGGTGCTCCTATGGCTCTATGGAACAGCCTGGTGCAGCTTCTGCCCTGGACAAGGCCGGGTTCAGCCCCAGCCTGCTCATCCTCGTGCCTTGCAGCATTCACTGGGCCCCCAGATCCCCTCCACGGCAACAGCTTAAACCAGAAGGTCCGGGCTGCTGCACAGGTGAGTGCTGGCCCTGTTACCTCTGTGCCTGGGCACTGCAATGGAGGCTGGAGCAGCTCCCACTCCCTGTGCCTGGTGCTCCTCAGTTCTCTCTCAAGCATCTCTCTCTCCTGGCAGGACTTGGCCAGCTTTCTCTTCTCGGATGCTCTGCTCCCAGCCGTTACCACACTGCCTGCCCGTCCCCTGCCTCCTGCAGGTAAGTGCAGGCTGTGCTGTACCCCCAGCTCCAGTGCTTTGCTGTGGTCTGGCCTCCTCTTATTGCTTGCTGGTGCATTGGGACTGATGTCCCACAGCTCTGCCTGTTACAGGCTGAGAGTATTGTGTTGGACAGAGAATTGTACCCAGGTAAACAGAGATACAGGCTGCCATAAGTGTTCTCTTCAAGTGCTCTGGCTCCCATCTCCCCCATGCAGATCCAAAGGCTCTACTGTGCTTTCTTGGGGAGGAACAGCAGTGAGGGGAGACCCAAAATGCCTCTGCTCTTTCTGATTGTGCCTCATACCTCCCCTAGGCATGGGTTCCAAATCCAGTCCCTGCAGCTCCATGCAAGGATTTGGCTTCAGCAGCGAGAGAGGCGGCTCCGGTAAGTGCCTCTGAAACTCTTGCTGGGCATTGCCCTCACCCTGCAGGGGTGCTGCCCCCCAGAGACTTTGGGCCAGACTCTCAGCTTCCCAAGGCTCTTTCCCAGCCTCAGCAGGTGAAGCCCTGCTCAGCACCATCCAGCGAGCAGCTGAAGCGGTGGCCAATGCTGTGCTTCCCTCACCGGAGGGACCCCGGTCTCACTGTGGGGAACTCCATGAGGATGCCTACCAGCCTGTGACAGCTCCTTCTCCTGCCAGGAGCCTGGCCAGCTCAACCAATCCACCTGCAGCCACTACAGCTCACATTGCCCGAGGTGCGTCACCCCCTGTGCTGTCCACCCCACTGTGTTTTGGGGTGGTTTGGTCTCCTTCTGGGTCACTTCCTGCTTTGCTGTTGCTGTCCTTTCAGTGAGCCACCAGCCGGGGCTGGCGGGGGGCGGCTGGGAGGAGGCAGACAGCGGGCACAGCTCCCAGAACTCCTCGCAGGAGAATGGTGACCTGAGCCGCACCTCAGACACCTACAGCAAATCGGGCAGCGACAGTCACTCTGGGGCCAGCCGGGAGCTGGTGAGCGGGGCTGAGAGGTAAGAATGGGGATCTAGGCACACTTCTCTGTGTGCTCTGAGTTCTTTTGAGATGGTTTCTCCATCTGCACGGTGCCTTTTTTTTTTTTCCATACTGTATTTTCCATCTCCTGGAGCTGACAGGCTCTGTTCTTCTGGGGGCGTTTGTCCTCCTGGTCTGGACAGCCCTCAGGCAGATAGAGCTGACTGCAGAGACGCTGCATGCATAGGAGGGAGCAGGGCTGTCCCCATCACTGTGCTTTCCCTGTGCAGGGTGGATGCTGACAGCCTGGGTGATTGCCTGAGGGAGGTGAGCCTGGTGTCAGCGCTGACCCAGGGTGCCAGGGTCTTCCTGACCAGGGAGGAGGCACAGCACTTCCTCAAGGAGTAAGTGCCCAAGGTGGATGCTCCCCAGGAGTGTGGGTGTCTGTGGTGTGGGCTTGGTGGGGCAGCGTGAGCCCTGCCTGCTGGCCCTGACTACAAGGCCAAAGTGCTCGTGGGGTGCTGCGTGTGTCCATAACTGCTGTCTCTGTGCCAGGTGTGGGCTGCTGAACTGCGAGGTGGTGCTGGAGCTGCTCAGTCGGGCCCTGGAGGACCCCAGTGACAATGTCCGCATGGTGAGTGCCCACGGGGCTGCTGCTGGTTTGCATCTGCCATTGGGGGGCTGCAGGCTCAGGAGGGACAGGGGAAGCAGCTCTGCCAAGCTTGGAGATTTTGGTGCCTGCTGCCCTGCTCAGCTCTTGTCCCCCTACAGCGGTCCATGAGCGCCATCTCATCCCTCATGTGCTCCGACCTGCTGGCTCTGGACCAGATCTTTGCAGGAACACGACAGCAACTGCAGCAGCTCAGCCAAGGCAGCCCCGGCCCTGTGGCCAACCGAGCAACCAAGGTGACTCCTGGGACATCCCCACGACTCCTCCCCAGATGGTGGTGCACTCTGTGCACTTTGTTACCCTGTCCCTGGGGGCACCCCTTGCTGCCAACCCTTGGAGTTGGTTCTGTGCATAATGGATGGGCAGTAATCGTGCCCCGGGATTGTGCTGCTGCTCCCAGAGCCCGCAGACCCTTCTGCCCTGAGGGTGGCTGCAGGCACTGATGCCCAGGTCATGGGTCCCTGAGAGAAGATGCTGGGGCCAAGCCCCTCATACTGCTGATGCTCACTGTGCCCTGTTTCACCTCTCCTCCCAGATCCTGCGGCAGTTTGAGGCTCTATGCAGAGGCCGCCCGTCCCCTAAAACCTCACGCCCGTGCTCAGCTCCATCTACCCTCGCTGAGGGCTCAGCCCCATGCACCGGGGACCTGCTGACAGACATCCCACCCCTGCTCGATGAAAGCATCCTCCAGCCCCTGTCTGCACCCACGCTCCCTGGCACTGCACCAGCTGTGGAGACAGAGCCGGCATTGGAAGAGGAGCCCTGGGAGCAGCCAGGCCCCACAGCAGTGCCTGTCGCACACAGACAGGAGGCAGCGAGCAGGTTGGTGGGGGATGTGGGCACGACAGCAGTGCCCACCCGCAGCCTGTCCCTGTTTGCTGGCATGGAGCTGGTGGCACTGCCGGGCACGGCGCTCACCCTGCACTCACCGCCTGCGGAGCCGCGGACGTTGCCACAGCCCCAAGGTGACACCATGCCTGATCCAAGCGACGCAGAGCCCTCAGCCTTCTCCTTCCTCAACGCATAGCTGCCTCCGGGATCCTGCAGGGCTGCAGGCGATGGCTGTGGGGCTCAGCGTGGGCTTCTCACCAACAAGCAGCCCTATGGAGACGAGGCAATGGGGCTGCACTTGGGCGCTGCCGGGGAGCTATAGGATATGAAATGGGGCCGGTGGCAGAGCTTTAAGGAGTCTGTCACTTCCCGTTCTGGGAAGGTAGGTGGCCCGGCCTGACCCGTGGGGGTCCGTGCTGCAGACCCTGCACTCCTAGGGCCGGGGACGCCCTGAGTTGGACGCAGGGTCAGAGCTGTAGGGGTCGCGCTGCGGTGATGCTGGTGGGGCCGCAGCCGGAAAGCACCAATAAACCTGAGCCCGGATGGGACCTGCGGCTGCCTCCGAGTGCTTGCTGGGGCCTCGGCCCTCACAGTCCCCGTCCCAGAGCCCCTTTGGAGCCAGAGCCCCTTCCGCCGTACAGCCCGCGCCTCCGGACTCCGCAGCCCTTCTAGCCCCGCCCCCATCGTTCCCACCTCCCGCCCCCTTGTTCGCCTCAGCCAATCCGGCTCTTTGCTCCGCCCCGCGTAGCTCCGCCCATTCCCCCTCTGACCGACAGCCGCCTCATCCAATGGCGCGGCCCCCGCCCCCCTTCGCGTTGACCAATGAGGGCGGGCGGACGGCGCGGGCAGGTGGGGGGCGGGGCGAGGCCTGGGGCCGGCAGGGCGGCTGCACTCGGGCCGGGGGTCCGGCGGGCTGCGGGGTCGCGCGCTCGCGGCCTCCGCGTGGGGCCGTTCCTCGCCCCGCCGCAAGATGAGGAGCGCTCGGAGCAGCTGCTCGTGCCCGGGCGGCGCCGTGGAGCTGAGCCTTACCGGGATGCCCGTGCCCGTGACGCGACGGCCCGGCAGCGCCTCGACCGCCAAGCACGTGGTGCGCTCCGTGTCGGTCGTCGGCGATGGAAAAACGAAAAGGAACGCGCTGGTGGGTGATGCTGTGCTGGGGAAGAGGTGGGTTGGGATGGGGGGCTTTGGGGGCTGCGTCAGAGAACGGCCAGGGAGATGGGAGATGGGGCTGGGCAGGGAGGAGCGCGGTGGGATTG